GAGCATTGGACGGACTAAATGACAGTGGGGTGTCTGAGCATTGGACAGACAGAATGACAGTGGGATGTCTGAGCAATGGACAGACTGACTGACGGTGGGGTGTCTGAGCATTGGACAGACAGAATGACAGTGGGATGTCTGAGAATTGGACAAACAGAATGACAGTGGGATGTCTGAACAATGGACAGACAGAATGACAGTTGGATGTTTGAGCATCGGGCAGACAGAATGACAGTGGGATGTCTGAGCAATGGACAGACTGACTGACAGTGAGATGTCTGAGCATTGGGCGGACAGAATGACAGTGAGATGTCTGAGCAATAGACAGACTGACTGACAGTGAGATGTCTGAGCAGTGGACGGACTAAATGACAGTGGGGTGTCTGAGCAATGGACAGACTGACTGACGGTGGGCTGTCTGAGCATTGGACAGACAGAATGACAGTGAGATGTCTGAGCAATGGACAGACTGACTGACAGTGAGATGTCTGAACAATGGACAGACTGAATGACAGTGGGGTTTCTGAGAATTGGACAGACAGAATAACAGTGGCATGTCTGAGCATTGGACAGACAGAATGACAGTGGGATGTCTGAGCAATGGACAGACTGACTGACGGTGGGATGTCTGAGCATTGGACAGACAGAATGACAGTGGGATGTCTGAGCATTGGACAGACAGAATGACAGTGGGATGTCTGAACAATGGACAGACTGACTGACAGTGGGATGTCTGAGCATTGGACAGACAGAATGACAGTGGGATGTCTGAGCAATGGACAGACTGACTGACGGTCGGATGTCTGAGCATTGGACAGACAGATTGACAGTGGGATGTCTGAGCAATGGATAGACTAACTGGTGGTGGGATGTTAAAGCAATGAATAGACTAACTGACAGCCAGATGTCAGAGCAATAAACTGACTGACAGTGGGATGTAATAGGGCATTGTTTGTTAATCTTCATTTTATATCTTTTGATGACATTCTTCTAAAAAATACATTTAGCGTTATTAGTAGACTGCACCTTTCATCTAACCTTTTTGTAACAACAACATTGCACATTTAAATTCATTCCCAGAGTGTGATTATGGAAGAAATATAATGGAAAAAGAGGATTTTTTGATTTGGCCAAGTAATTGATTCTTAGATGAATGATCCGTCAGTAGTGATTTGTTAGGGCAAAGACCCATCAAACGTTTGTTTCATCAGGTCAATGAGTGATGAATGTTTTTAGATCAACATTGAGTTATCAGGGCAATGTGTAGAGTAATGTATGTAAAGTGACTGATTAACTAGAGCTATCATACTAGTATTTTTGTCAGATTAACCAGCGAGGGAAATAATTGGGTTGTCGAGCGGTGAAACGTCAGAGTAGTGTTTTGTCAGACGAACCAATTTGAGCACTAGTGTGGTGTCAGAACAGGAGAATCCGTCATTTCGATGACTCGACGTTTTGAGATATAAAATTACACATTTTGAAGGATTGCAACATGAATTCTATCATGATACTTATTATAGCCTGTAAAATAACGCGCGATTCAACACGAGATTTATGCTTTGCAATAATTGTGCTTTATTAGCATACAGCATAATAGTGGAATATAAATGAAATTATTTATGACGAATTTGTCAACTTAAGCATACACACAGACTTTGTAAAGATGATGCTGATGCGACGGAATTTTAGCAATAATAATGATACATATTTACATACATACAAAATGTCAAATTATATTCATAAAACGTCAATTTGAATAATGATAGAAGACAACAATAATAAAGCTTATTCTGTATATCAAAATAAGTCAAAACCGTAATCATGTCCATGCTAATCACAACATTGACTTGTATAACATGAAAAGAGTTTGGATGATTGCTGTTAAATACATCAAACCATAAAAACAATGCAATGGTCACAAGGAGATTACCATGGCAATTTCGAGATACATATTAATCTCTGCATTGTGTGCTTATGACTTACTGACATATTTCAAGCACAAATAAATGTAAATTAAAGTATACATAAATCCAATAGAAACTGTTCGTAAATACATCCTCTGCAACATTAATGAATATTAATACAACTGACTAATTAGTATTAGCAAAAACAGCGAAGTAATGTTTCTACTTAGTATATGCGGTTTGAATAGAGAATGTGTATAGTGTACACATGTTTTGATAATTGATCTGGAACTGGAAGAAGTTGATCACATATACTGTTTGCAGAAACAAATTGCTACAAAGAAAACCAGTTTGATGTAATGAAATTTTATTTAGAGTTTTGGTAATTACACTATGATGTAGTGCAGGATAGTAAATGTGTTTTATATTCAATGGCTCATAGATTTACTCGTGAATAAATATTTCTATTTCCGTTAATCCATTTTAATTAACAACCCATACGGAATGACACATCCACGTTCTTTGGTAAACCACTCAATCTCTTGGTTACTGAACTTTGGATCGATTTCCCCAGTTGCACCAATGGTTTCCGGGCCAACTTTATAGCTTGTTGGCCGGATGTGAACTTGGAAGGCAACTTTTGTCTTGTACGTCTTCTTTGTGACACCATCTTTATAACTGAAATATAAGATTACACATTGATGTCAGTGGAGTCAGTGGGCAGAAATACTAGTATGTTCAAGTTACGTTTTGAATCTTTCTATACGTTTGTTCACAAAATGGATTTTTAGAAAAGTGATATAAATAGTACCTAGTATGTAGAAAGAAACATAAGAAAGAATCTGTACCTCTGTGCTAATGAATATACGTTATCACCAGAGTACCTAATGCTCGGGGAGAGGAAGATCTGTTTTGTGTCAAACCCTGCAGGTTTTCTGTCTTCTGTGAAGTGACCATCGCGCTCACCTAACTTCTTGCCGCCCATAATGGTATCACCTTAATTGAAAGAGTACTGACAAAATGAGTAAAAAATAAATATACACTAAGCTACAACTACAGATTTTACCCCATTCAAATTATAAAGATCTATCTAGTCTATCTCTAAGAAATGCTGACAGGGACATCTTAGTATAAAGTTTTATGAACAGGAATGCACACATGAAAGCTACATTAGCTACTCTTTCATGCTTAATCTGAAATTAATTTATTTAGGATCTTTAAACCCAGAAAAACAACGAGTGTAACATTACCAGGCATCAGCAAATCGCCACATTCCAAAATTGGTTTGACTGCATCCATTCTTGTGCCATGAAAGGCAACATGCCATGTCTTGAATACATCCAAAGCATGGGCTCTATCAGGTACTCTAAATGCAAAACGTGTACATAGTATGATATAATTAGCCACAAATGTTGACCTATAAATCCGAAAGTATGCATTACTCGACGCACACATATTGTTGTGGGTTATAATATATGCTGAAGGAAGTTATGAGAGAAGTGAGTTTCAATACAAAGGTGATACCATATTATTCACTAGTTATTGTGATATCAGGTTAGACAACAAAACCATTTCGAACCAAAACGAGTAAAAGTATGACACTCACTTTAAGGCGAATCGACACCATCCTACTGGTACTCCATAACTCTTCCCTGGTTGACCACGTGTATAGTAAAGATCATCCCCTCTTGCTGTGTGGCATGAAGTGCAATAACACATATTGTGATCCTTGTTGAAAAATAAATCTATTAACACAAAAATAACAGTTAATCAATGCACGTGCTCAGCAACTACGCTATGAACGAAATTACGAGTTTTATAGACTACGACATTTCAGTTTTGGGAAATACTTTACCTGATAGATTCAGTGTAGTTTTGAATCGTGCGCACAATTCCTGGTAGTCACATTTACTCCTGGAAGGAGATGTTCGCATGCCGGGTCCTATGGCAAAACAAACAGAACTAATTATATTTTAGATCCGATTGTATGTCATAATATGAGCGACATGATTTAGACCTGTATTGTAATTGATACACATACCGAATTGTTGCATTGGTACATTGACGGTCATAATTACGCGTTCTGCAGCTTGCTTCACAGCTTCAATATTGCTGGACGATAGTTGTCTTAAAGTATCCATGGCTCCAGGCTCTGAAGCAATCTTTATTTTGTTGGAAGGTGATTTTGCCAGGGTCCACAACGCATTTGCAGCACACTCCTGTTCAGGTGGGCCACCTTTTTGAAGCAGCTTAACAAACAAGGGAAGACACGAAGCTTCAACTAGGGTGGTTTTGTTCTTGTCATTGATTGCCATGTTTCCAAGGCCAGTTGCTATCTCCAGAGCTGACCACGTGCTGTCGTCAGACCTTCCACGCAGTTCTGGGTCCTCTACAGCCTTTTTCAGCAGCCCCAGCAGATATTCAGTAGCATTTGTGGTTGCCTCAAGTAAATCCGTTTTGTCTTCATCAACAATATATGAGAGCGTCAGCATTGTGACAGTCACCACGCCCATGTCTTCAGATTTCAACAAAGGAGCAAGCCTCACTGTTGCATTCATATCGTGGAAAATTTTCCGATTTTCCGAAGCTTTTGCGCAGTTGTGAATGACGTTTAAAGCTGAAATAACCATAAACTTTTTTTTCTAAAAATAAAGAAAAAAATAGAATGAGATACAGAATAATCATTTCTTATTATATTTCTTATTTAAAAACCTAATGTACTGGCTTAACTTCATTATGTAACACTCACCTCACTCTTGATTTTGGTTGCACCAAATGTAGAAAGGTCTTTGAACATTTTCTGCAGTATCCCTGATTGTCCAAACTCTTTGCACATCTTCAGGCTTGCATCAGAGTAATTCCAACATGTGCTGCGAACCAGATTTATTCCTTGCCACACGCCAGGTGTTTCCATTCCCATATCATCCAGTCTCTCCAGTAACTTTGTAAGCTCGTGGGCCCCACCAATATTCGCTAGATGGTCTCCAAACCTCTGGCGGATTTTCCGATTGGTCGTGTTATGGTATGGCTGCAATATCGTACTTGTAACTTCAGCAAGAGCAGATCGCATATCCGAAAACTTCCAATGTTTTAATTTGTCTACTGTGTCTCGCATTTTGAACATTATGGCGTTTGGGTCACTACCAGTTGCTTCACTCTTGGTTGGAACATCTGATTCGACCTTCTGAGATGGAGCTACTCCCGTGCTCTCTGCAATATCAATGATACATACAAGGTTACTATACACAGTTGTAAACATGGTGAACTAATATGCCATGTACACAGAACACTCATCTCAACGTACCGCAAATAGTGACTCTTTCAGCTTGACCATAGATATCGACTACACCATAGACAACTGGCGGGTTATTCTTTAATCTCACTGCTTTCTGTAGGACCTCGCCATTTAAATAAAGGTGAAAAGAGCCATCTCCTTTACGCTCTATTCCAATAGTGTCTCCGATCTGTAAAAAATGATTCATCCAACATCACATACAAACGATATTAAAAACCATATGAACCTTACAAAATGATGCCAAAGTGTTATTTAGTAAACAATGGACATTTGTTTATACGAGTCTAAGGGTATGCAGCAGACATGTGATACTGATTACAATAAGGAAATAACAATTAATTCATGTTCCTGCAATAAACTCGAAACCTTATTGCAATTAATTAATGGTCTAAAATAAAATATTCAAATACCAAACTCTAGATACATATTTTTTGCATGTTAACACGACGGAAATCCCACTTTGGTTAATCATTCCAATTTCAGGTGTTAACACTGATCATTTTATATTAATTCAATGCTCGAATTTGTTAATATCTACATTCTACATTCAGAAAATAAGAATGAAAGTGAAGATCTACCTAGCACTCAAAATAAAGAATTGCAATATTTAAACAATAATGCACGACCCGCCAACCCATATTGGGCGAAAGCGTGGTTGAGTACATTGAGTTGTCGACAAGCTCAATATTGTTATTATTTTGTAGCGTTGTCAATACCAGTGGATTTGCTGCCTCTAAAAAACGGAAAATTTGGAGAAAAATACACAGTGAACGGGAGAGTTTCACAGTCACTGGCTCGTGAATCTGAATAATTTAAAATGTCTTTCTTTATGGCAAACTAAGAAAGAAACTAGTTTTAATCCATTAAATATTATTGTATTGAACTCATTTACATTGCGAGTGAATGAGTGACTGATGTGTGGTGTGAATTAGCATTGCAGTGATCACCCGTGCGAACGGCAAACCGTGACTGGTACGCCGTATCGGTGTCTGTCGCGGCCTTGCCCGGGGGCCTTGCACTACGCTATGCTAGATCGCCACTGTGGTCCAGTTGGATCGACTGTGCGTAGTTGCATCGTTATCTCATCCCACTAGTGTTTTCAAGCCATCAAGGTAGATGTTATTAGGAAATGTCCTATCTGTGTAATATGTAGTTATTTTTAAATTGTACGGGAGGCCGGTGATTTGATGAATACTTACAAGCCAAACGAAACTTACAGGCGTAGCGAGCGAGCGAACGAACATGGCTGGAAAGCTGGTGGGTGTTAGCCTTTCTAGGCTAGAAGGATAACCAACAGTGATTTTAATCTTAATGTATAAATAAAAAATACACACCTTAAAAAACACGGATACCTTTGTTTACTTATGCAAACTGTGCCCGGACTGTTGTGACATTTACCGGGAGCTGACGCTGAGGAAGTCACGTCGGTCATCGTCGATCTCGTCTCGCAAATTATGTGGTACTACTCACTACAAAAACAGAACAAATTCGTTTCTCTGTACTCGTAGACATACATTGTACCCCACTTCGTTCATCGCATTTGCTCGGATAAATCACCCTCGGACACTCCCACATTATTAGACAATCAGGACTAAGCATGCCTTTTAGATGGCTGCGCCTGGCAATTGACATACAGCGGTAGTCATTCAGACACGGGAAAACGTGTATTTTGACGCTAATTTGCCGAATTTGATCGTAAATGATTGATTACTGTTTAAATTCGAATAATTGTAAAGCTATGACGTCACTCTGGTGGTCGAGTGTCCTCCCTTCTCGAACTTCGTTCTCGCCTATGGGCTTTCGCGGTCAGTCGACGAGCCTCTGTGGGGGCGAACTAGTCGGGAGGCCACCAGGACAGAGGCATCAGTCGCGGAATCTATAAGCGCGCGTACTAGATGGAAGCTTCGACCGAACGCGCTTTAGCGTACAGAGCAGACGACAATGCCCTCATATATATATAATTTGCTGATTTCGATATTGCGATCAGCTGTTATTAGTAATGCAGCGTTTTATTTGATGCTGATTTTTAATACAAAATACTTGTTATCTGACAATTTCTCTTCTTTTTCCAGAGGCGGATCTAGGATTCTGGAATAGAGGGGCGATAAGTTGACCGAAGGCCAAGTTCGCGAGCGCCGATGGCACGAAGCACTGTCGGTTGTTAAAAATGTCGGGGGGGGGGGGCTCGGCCTCTAAATCGCCCTCTAAATCCCCCTCTAAATCATGTTTTCAATAGTTTCTCCTTCATTCGTTTTCGAAAACAACATTGTATTCATATCCATGGCACAGGGCCTTGATGCTCAATAATGGATACATTATCGCGAATAATCTGCTGCAATGACGTCATAAAATCCACTGGTATTGATAATGCTATAATATAATAAAAAATAAATCCAACTTAATTATTAGTTAGTGTTCAAGCAAAAACATGTATAAAATAGATCCTGATTTGAAATCGACAAAGAATATATCATTTTAGTTCATAGTTTGATTTACGTAGAGCAGACTGACACACACACTGAAAAATTGACTTCATATTTTCCTGTATGGAGTTTGCCACACAAGTACAGACAACACAAAAAGCCGTTCCATCTTATATATTTAAAATATGTATATTATATATAACTGTTTTCCGTTCAAAAGTTCAATGTAGGATAAAAAACTTAATTCTTTTAGTTAGTTCCCCCACCCCAACTTAAACTTAATTGATAAATATTGAACATGGCGTCAGACTACACTCACCATTAAATACAAATTGATAATCGGACAGTGGTATGACATAGCAGTTGGTTGTAATAATGAAGGGAAATATACGTAGTCTTGGATGTTTTTTTTTCATTTTCTGTTATTTTTGTCCATGATTGGATAGAAAAAAAAAAAGAACTACAAATACTCCAAGATTTGTTTGACTTCATTAAAAAATAAAATCGTTTTTGTAGGATGGAAACTTTTTGAGGTCACCCCCACCCCAAACTAAAGCAATTACTTTTTTTTATCCGACATCGATCTTTTGACGTCGCTCCTTACCGTGCAGTCATCTAGATCCTTATTCAGCTCAATAACCTTGGTTCCGTTTTTCACTATATTAGATCCAGACCACATCATATTCACTCCATGTTGACATTCAGTCATAGTAGTGGGATAGTCCAAGTCGTTGGGTGTATTTGTGGTGAAGCCAAAATCCAGTCCTCCACTCCACCTCCCTACCTTGGTGTCGAGTCGTATTTCAAACTTTTCGTCTGTCTTCAGAGGCTGTCTAGTCAGGACGATGCCGTTGTTGAACACGTTTTTGGCACTATGCAGGTACAACATTGTGCTCAGTTACATAACACAACACAATACTTAAAGTGCGGTAGTCGTCGCGCTGCGCGTGTGCGACATTTGTGTTAATAAACATTGTTTTTCCCACAATTCAATGCGCTCAAATCTTCAAATGGAAATCACAAGAATGAGGTTTTACCTGGGCGCGACTTGCACTGATTACTGTCGATGACTCCTTTGATACCTTCCAATAACTTGAAAATTACTTAATTAAAGCTTGGAAATGTCTCAGTTCGAACTCGTTGATCTGCGCAACAGTCAAAGTCGCCATCTTCGTTTGTATGACCCATATATCTCGCACATGCGCAGCGCGACGACTACCGCGCTTTAATACTTTAACGGTCAATAATTAAAGTTTGAAAAATTATATATTTGAATAATCAATTTTCTCTAAAATACATTGGAACAAATTAACACATTGTTCAATAGATATATATCCGCCATATTCAGTAGACATGTAATGATGTTCTGTTACTCGTTTATGACTTACTCTCGTCGTCTGGCAATCCGCCCGCCATGCATTACATCAACCTGATCTCCAGATCTTGGGTGGAACTTATAGTAGCTATTGCCCGTGGGTGTAGGCACTGACACAACTTGTTCGCCACTTTCAGTTTCTTGTGTGATTTTTCCTACATAATGTTAAACGAAACATTTGTGAACATTGTTGTGTAGAAACATAAAACTCGGCACAATTACTGATAATTTGCTAATTGGTCTTCCCCCCTTCTTGTGGTAGATAGCGCCCTCTTGTATCAGTATGTGTTGAAGTAACGATAAAAACATTAAATTGTGTACTATGTACTCATTAAAATAAAAATATATGTAATACATTGTTTTGACCAGCCATATTTGAAAAAAAAAGTACAGCGCCCTCACCGCCACTGCCCATGTACTTCATTCTTATGTCACACTGATCTTTAGTGGAACAGGCAGCCATACACAGGGGTTTTACAAGATTCATGCGAGGGAGACCTTTGAAAGCGATGCCAAGGTCTTCTCCGTTGGCTTTAAAACTGTAGCAGGAAAAAAAGACGCGTATATAATATGAAACGTTACATCACGGTTACTGAGTAACATGCATAGGAATGGGCAAATGACGTTTATCAGTTACCTATGGTGTTCACGCGAGATTCACTACTCTCGCCAGTTCTATCTTGATATATTAGGAAAAACTGTTTTCTTAGCAATAGAGCACGGTACAGGGGTTACATAAAGGCGAGCGGTAATATCACTAATAAAATTGAAAGAATTACTTGAAATGCTCACACAGAAAAAGTGTTATAAGCATTTACCTCAGCGTTCCATTATCAGCATCTAACGTCGCGTACACTGTCTCTGGTACGGTATAAATCGGCCTTGAAGGGTAGATGCCAACAATTTTTCCACCATGGGTCAATTTCCGGTCGCTCAGATTCCAACCCCAAGATTCCGACGTGGCGCCAAGTAGATAAGTATAACCAACGCATCCTAGCGGTGCCTGGGGCGTGGCGACACCTATGATGGCGTGCGATCCTCTTTCATCTTCATCGCAGTAGAATTCGAACACATGGGTGCCCGTGCGGTATCCTTTCTTTCCCCTTATACCATCTGTACGATATCGCTGCATACCTCGACGTGCGGTGATCCCATCACCTAGCACAGCGATGTTACTGGAACAATCTTCCGGGTCCCAGCCATGTTCTCGTTGTTCAGGTGTGGTATTAGAGGAGCCCTGGCTACCCGATAACATGTCACTCATAGCTTCCATCAATGCTTGCTCAAGGACCCTGCTTTGAATGTCTCGGCGTCTCATTTGTGGCATGAATGGATCTCCTTGTAGACCGCTAACTCCTTCCACATTCCCCATGTTTTTTGCTAGCGGTCACTGTAACTGAATTGCAAACAGTGTGAAAATAAATATATGACGATGCAATCAATCTATTATTGTTGTAGATAATATCACGTTTCACTGTCCACGAAACTCAACAAATCACATTACTCGATGTCACATCTTGTCTATTCTCGAAAAATACCCGCATTGTATTTGGTATGTATTATGTCATAAATGAAATCCCATTTCTTCATTTTCACATGAAACATAAAACTAAATAAAACAAATATGTCAGTTGCATTATTTTAGTTTCCATTCGTATTTTTTGAAGAAAAAAAAAACGAAAAAAAAAAAAAAAAAAAATCGATACAGACACATAAAATATGAACAAAGCCGTACAATTCCATTTTAGTAAGAGAGTAGTCCCTAAACACTAACATCCCCATTCCCAGCACTGGAACTGTCCCACATTTTTTATATTAGTAGTAAGCGGCGTAGGAGGCGCTGTTTATTGTTTAAATCAATGATTGTTATGTTATGGCCTCAACCACGGTGTCAATACAATGTTGCCACAAAATTCCATCAAATTTGGTAAATTACAGTCATGTTCATGTGCCTGTGTTGAACGGATTGAAGACACAAACTAAACACACTAAGGTTAAAGTTCAATAACTTGCTTTATTGAACTCTAATCGACTTAGACATCGACTGATGGCTCAGCTGAGTTGACAGCTGCCAAACAGTGATTGAGTTGTGGCAAACATTTTTGAAGTCAAAGTTCGAAATTATAAACAACATTTTGAGTTGACGCCGAGGCTGCACAGAAGTGATTCTTTGTTTGACGTCGCTGTGAAATAAAAAAGTAAGGGATGGGCGCCATACTAAATAATTCATTAAATATTCCAAAATATGCAAATTAATGTTAATGTTTAAAATGCCCCCGGGCCCATAGAAAGAAGAGAGTCAATTTTCATTTTGTAATCAAACAAAATAAACACAACATAACACAAATATTTTGTTAAATTAGACGCATCAAACGCAATTCAAAGGTTTCACAGCCTGGTGTGATGATTTGTGATTGATCAAGATTGGGAATTTGAAATATGACAGATATTATTGCAATTAATGGTATCAGATTGAGGAACACAAAAATTGTGTTTGTAATCGTTTTGTAACAAGCATTGAGTGGGAGATGCCAGAATGAATAAAGACAATTTTCTTCTCTCTTCTAATAAGGCCAGACTTTTATTATCCCTTGTTTCGCGAACCCGCCGAATGAACAGGAGCCGAAAATGAATTAAAAATAAAATTTTATTTCAGCGTAATTTCTCGCGCCCGCTGAATTGTAAGTGCAAAAAATTACTAAAAAAATTATTTTTATCTTCATTTTTTTCTGCCCGCCGCATAACAAATTCAAGTTGCATTTTCGCTGGAGTATCATGATCAAAGTACCGAGTCTTGCGTAGATGAGAAGCAAGATTATTCATGGAATAACATTTTATTTCATTTCTTCTTTGTGAATCACACAAATCTAACGTAAAAAAGAATTAATTTTATTTTTTCCGTCCTCAAAAAATTTGCTCCATAAAAACTCGAGAAACAAGGAATAAAAAAAGTCTGGCCTAAATATGTTGATTGTTCAGCTACATGTGTGCAGGCGAGACAGACTTCTAAATACACCAGTATACGTTACTACAAGCAACAAAAGGCTATATTGTTGCTTCTGGGAACGCATGGACAATACATTGATTCTTGGAAACTCTTGAGTCCTACTCTCAAAGTGAAACCACGAAATAGAGTGTTATGTTTAACAGGTAGAATGTTCATTTTGGATGAGATAATATGATGATGACCCCTGACCTAGCATGTTTCTATCTTAGATATACCGAAGGCCGACATGAAGTCTAACGTAGTCATAATTATGTTATTTATAACTAATTTCTTTTTTGCCAAGAACAGATTTCACACTATTTTGAATAACTTCAGTTGTCGAACACTAACAAATACTGCGGGTTTACGCCCTACTACAAGTATAACACCTCAGATTACTATGGACATGCGCATTGAGACTAAACATGACCACAATAGGCAAAGTCTAACCGGCGAGCCAATATACAGACAATATACAGTAGTTGTACTACATAATAATTTGTCATAAATAAATAACAGAAAACTGTCAGAAAGAATAAACATTTTTACTTTTTCTCGTAAATTTTAAATGAATTGAAATAATAAAATAATAAAACAAAAATATAAAATAAATACAAAACAAAATGTAACAAACTAAAAAAAGAAAGTAGGGAGAGAAATTAATAATGCAAGTAAAACAACAGAAAAACGCTGGCAAATAAGTACAATGAAAGTAAGAAAAAAACAGTACACATCTTCTTAAAAAAAAATCGATAATCATTTCGAGAGCGCAGATTTAAAAAAAAAAACAGCTCATACCCAATATATTGTAAGTCACATCTACGCGGAAACCATATCAACATATCTACCAACATTCGATCGGTTAGTCATTGCATAAAGAGCATTCTTTCCAGGAAATTTTATGAAAATTAAATGAAAGATTAGATCCTATAATACATTTTATAAATAACAAAATAATTCCCCATTGTTATATCCATGGTAACCGTAAACGTACCGATAGCAACATTTAATGAATTCATGCTTGTACCAAGAACAACTTGAAAACTCCATAAAAAGCAATCAATATTCTTTCGAAGTATGAAGGAAAAATCTTTTCCGAAATTGTTATTTACATGGTAACCGCACCAAAATATAATAGTTTTGTGCTTGTGTTAAAAGGGGAACCTCTCCAAGAAATTTTATGAGAATCAACCAATAACCGTTTTTAGTTATAAATGGAAAATTATCCCCGAAATTGGGGAACCCCTTCTAGAATTGTTATAAGGATTCATCAATAAATATCCAAGTTATCCTGCTAGCAACCAAACCAATGCTACCAAAAGAATAAATCCCGTGGGGCGGAGGTAAAGATAACAACACTCATATTAGACTTCTCGATAGGTGATAATAAACGACTACAACACATTTTCTCTAGTTGCGTCACTCATCGTGCAGGGCGGCTTGTTTTTTATCGCGTTCAACACATCAATTTGTTCATATGGGTATCCAGGTTTTAGCCAAGTGTCCCTCACCGGTGTACACCAAACGTTGTTCTTGTTTACAAAACACTGAACCGAGCTGCACCAAAATACACAAAATACAAATGAACTCGAACACATTGGTGCAGTACACGTCATCGTTACATAGTGCGCAAGCACAGATCCGATGTATCAAAGCGCGCAGCATGGGCGAGCTTGTAAACTAGCTCGACCATAAACCGAGCGAAATCGCTACAAAGACACAGTTTTTACATCAGAATAAGTGAACGAATGATACAAAATGAATTTTACCTTATTAGGTGTCTTTACTGCAATGGCGACTGAGTGAATCACGTGCTTTTGAATTCCATGAAACAACACGTAATACGTATGGATCAGTCGTACAGTGTTTGCAAAAAAATACACAATGCCTTCTTGCTTGCCAATATCGATATATTTATTCACAAAAATTCAAACTTCACCCAATAGAGCAGTTTAGACTCGTAATATTTACAGTTTCTGAGATCCATATGTGGTCGGTCGATGACAGTAAACCAGTGACTTATTAATTCTTCAGTTGTTGATGTATCCAACGTCAAATGTGTACCTGGCATTGTGCACGTCGTAGTATTTACCATCATATGATAAGGCCAAAAAAAAAAAAAAATATGTTGCCCTCAAGTCGAAAAACTTGGAAATTGGATCGGTTGGTCTGATATTTTTTTAAAATTCGGGAAAACTAAGAGTATCGTAAATAGCCATGGTATATGGACTTCATGGTATTCGGAACATGTCAGAGAAATACAGATCAACCCGAAGTTCAAAATCGCCACTTACGGGGACTCTGGGGATCAAACAACGGTCCGGGATCCTTAATTTTTAGAGGAAACACTTTTTTACTGCCTAAAATGGTGAGTTTTTATATATTTGGGCCTATTAAAAAAAAAACAAAAACAAAAAACAAAACAAACAAACCGCGAACCGATATTTTATATTTTTTACTCGGTAGCTGCAGGCAACAAAACAAATTTTGTTGACCTAAGTGTTTTATGAGCAGTGCGATCAGGGGCAGTTACCCTACATAAAGCTGTGTAGGTCAGCAGCGGACTTGCTTTGCATGTTAATTTGACACCTGGCAAACAACCGCATTGTCTAGTACCGAGAAGCGATCGACTTTCGCGACACAGCGTCTGTTTTGGAATTACCATTTATGGGAGAGATAATACGAGCCCGTAGAAACATGATGTTTTAACATTGTCATGTTAGCTAGAAACGCACTGGTATGTACTTTAATAGATAGGAACCAAGACAAGGCCCTCCTAAAAATAACAGACATTGATAAAAATCTCGCTGTCATGGTGACTGTGCTAAAATCGCAAATCCCAAAATACAAAAGCAAAAAATTTTGTTTTTTTTACACTTTCCATAATAATATGACGTTCATAAACATACTTAAACATTAGCCTGACATGTAGGTATGAATGGCGCCCTCACCGGTCAAACGGCATTAACACTCTTGTGTTGGGTTTGGAGCACCGCGGTGGAAGCAACTCACGTGACCTTGTCCGGCTAATGTAAACATGTATACGAGAATTGGAATGAGGAAGTAAGACTCGATCTTCTTTCTCTTTACATTTGAATTACCTACAGAAATATTAAAAATTCAACTAGGCGATATTACAGTGGTGGCGGCACATGGGCAGAGGGGTTGCCCCCTCGAAAAAAATGGTGGGGGCGGCATCCCTTCAAAATCAAGTTGAAACCCTTTGCGTCAGCAAAATTTGCCCCTCAAATGCAGGAAATAGCGTTTCAGAGGGTCAAGATTTCAATTTTTTTTAGGGGAAGCATGCCCACGGACCCCCTAGTAAGGTCGCGCCTACGACGCGAGGATTAATGTGCAGATCTCGCTCCTATGCATAATGTCGTGCC